TTTTCATACCCACTGTTGCAGTTGGGCCCACTCAGGGGAGATGACTTCATTTTGAGAGAGAAAATCAAGAATTGGGTACCATTTCCTATCAAAAGAGGACTTGGTAGGCTTCATATGGACTGAATTTATTTTGTTAGTAACGGATTCCATGAGATATTGATCCCATAACTTACGAAACCAAAGCTTTAGATCAGGAGGTTTGGGATCCTTCGTGTTTTAAATTTCACTGATGACCAGGACTATTTTTGGGCAAGAACGCACAGGAACGGAGTTCCGGCTGGCTCCTGAGTTGGCCACACCCAGCAGGAACTCATTAGCATAATAGGCCACACCCAACAGCAGAAACTCATCAGCATTGGCTACAGTAGGCGTGTGGGGCCTAACATGGAAAGGAGTCCCTGGTACAAAAAAAGGCCCTGGGTTTTGACAACAAACAAGGTAAACAGAATAAGAAGCAAAAGGTGGGTGTGGCTGGATGACCACACTTTTGGCAACACAGGACGGCGGCCTAATATGCTAATATGCTGTGATGGCACGGTGTGGCCTAATATGCTAATAGGTTTCAGCTGTTGGGTGTGGCCTGTTACGCTAATGAGTTCCTGCTGGGCTTTTTCTACAAAAAAAGCCCTGCTGACGACATTCTGATCACAGCTTTGGGGTGATGTCAGGGAGGGGCCGTGGCTCGGTGGCAGAGCATCTGCCTGGCATGCAGAAGGGCCCCTGGTTCAATCCCCAGCATCTTCAGTTTAAAAAGGGTCAGGTAGGAAGTGATGTGAAAAACCTCAGCCTGAAACCCCGGAGAGCCGCTGCCAGTCTGAGTAGACCATACTGACCTTGATGGACTGACGATCTGTTTCAGTATAAGGCAGCTTCAGGTGCTTCTGCGATGAATCCAGCTATGGACAAAGTCTCGTTTTTAGTGACCTTCTTGAACCAGCACTTGCTGTTCCCAGGCACTTCCTTGGCTGCCTCCCCCCCACTTGATTCCCCACTCCTCCACTTGCAGCTGCTGGGTGACCTTGGGCAAGCCACAGTTCTCTCAAGAGCAGTCCCCGAGAGAGCTCTCTCAGCCCCACCTTCCTCTCAGGGTGTCTGTTGTGGGGAGGGGAAGGGAGAGGAGATTGTAAGCTGCTCTGAGACTCCAAGTGAAGGGCGGGGTATAAATCCAGCCGTCTCCTCCTCCACCTCCTCCAGATCCTGGAGGTTTTTTGTCATCTTCTGGCCCCACTGCTGGACCTCCTGATGGCCCCTGGTATTTCTGGCCACTGTGTGACACAGAGTGTTGGACTGAATGGGCCGTTGGCCTGATCCAACATTGGCCTCTCTTATGTTCTTATGTGTGGAGCAGGGGTCACTGGGGGTGTGGAGGGGGGAGGTATTTGTGAATTTCCTGCATTGTGCAGGGGGTTGGGCTAGATGACCCTGGAGGTCCTTTCCAACCCTCTTCTTCCTCCTCTTCCTCTCCTCCTCCTCCTCCTCTCAAGTCTATTGCCCTTTTAAGTCTGTTTTTTCTTTCCTTGTGTAGATGACGTTTCTACTCTTTCATGCCCTGCCTTTCTCTAAAATGTCCTACACGATCAGTGGCAGCCAGGTCGCCTTGTGTTCACAGTAAGTGGCAGCCAGTGATGATGCCTCTGCCTGGCCCCGCCCTCTGTGACACTGGAGCAGCTCAGCCAATCACTGCCAAGAGCCTTCATCTCCCCTTTCCCACTAGTACATGAGATAATTGTCATGCCTTACTTGAGATTTCATAGTTGGAAAGATATTTCTCCCACTTCCTAAATGAGAAAATCCGATTGCGGCAGTGTATCTATGAGTGATAGACTTTGGATTTTAAGCATTTACTTTTTAAATTCATTTATCTTTGTTATTTTTTAGTTTATTGCACTTTCTCAAAACTATAACAAGGTGAGACAGGGCTATATAGTAGAATAACAAAGATGTATCGATAATCAATAAATTAACCACAATGCATAAATGCATTTGGTGTAGTGGTTAAGTGCGTGGACTCTAATCTGGGAGAACCGGGTTTGATTCCCCTCTCCTCCACGTGCAGCTGCTGGATGACCTTGAGCAAGCCATAGTTCTGTCAGAGCTGTCCTTGAAAGGGCAGTTCTTGAAAGAGCTCTCTCAACCCCACCTACCTCACAGGGTGTCTGTTGTGGGGAGGGGAAGGGAAAGGAGTTTGTAAGCCGGTCTGAGACTCCGAAGGGTGAAGGGCGGGGTATAAATCCAATCTCCTCTTCTTCTTCTTCTTCTTCAGATCTAGACGTAAACAGTAAGCAGTGAGTAAACCATATTTGCCCCATTTTCCTTGTCTCCATTTTAATCGAGATATTGAAAGTACTGAAAGATCTTTCAAAATTACCACAAACATAGAATATCAATTATTATCAGGAATATCACCTTGTTTTGTCAGATATTCCACAATGGGGAACCAGATTGCCACACAGTTAGATGAAGATGGTTATAATCCACCTTTCTCACTTGGACTCAAGACAAATTAAACAGAGTGAGTCAATGCAATTGACAGATGGGACGTTCAATAAACAATACAATAGGATTAGGGTTGTAGAACCAGCCAGAAGTCTAAAAAAAAACTGAGGCAAAGCCTAAGTCTTAATATGACATATTAACTAATACAAAATTCCATAGTTTGGGCAACCTATATACAGTATTATAGGCCACGGTCCTTAATAATTTTTCCAAGTAACTTTGTGAATCATTTAGTACAGTGCAGCTCTATTGCTTGCATGGAAAAGGCCCTCTTAAGTAATTCATTTTTGCATTGTTTGGCATTCACTGCTGCAAGACATGGTGGCAGCTAAAAGCATAGACAGCTTCAAGAGGGGTCTGCATAACTATATGGAGCAGAGGTCCATCAGTGGCTATTAGCCACAAGGTACAGATGGAACACTCTGTCTGGGGCAGTGATGCTCTGTATTCTTGGTGCTTGGGAGGCAACAGTGGGAGGTCTTCTGGTGTTCTGGCCCCGCTGGTGGACCTCTTGATGGCCTCTGGGTTTTGGCCACTGTGTTACACAGAGTGTTGTACTGGATGAGTCAGTGGCCTGATCCAACATGGCTTCTCTTATGTTCTTATGTCTCTGGGGCGGTGATGCTCTGTATTCTTGGTGCTTGGGGGGCAATATTGGGATGGCTTCTAGAGTTCTGGCCCCGCTGGTGGACCTCCTGATGGCACCTGGGTTTTGGCCACTGTGTGACACAGAGTGTTGTACTGGATGAGTCAGTGGCCTGATCCAACATGGCTTCTCTTATGTTCTTATGTCTCTGGGGCGGTGATGCTCTGTATTCTTGGTGCTTGGGGGGCAATATTGGGATGGCTTCTAGAGTTCTGGCCCCGCTGGTGGACCTCCTGATGGCACCTGGGTTTTGGCCACTGTGTGACACAGAGGGTGCGTTCAGACGCGGCGTTTGCAACAGTATAGGTGCCGGTTGCAATCGGTGTACTTACCGGCGTTCACACATAGTTTATCTGCCTTCCGTCCCTAACCGTTGCAAAGCCCTTTAAACCGTTGTACTCTGCCACTAGGTCCCCAAGTGGTGGTATCCTGAGTACAACGGTTGTAATCGCTGTACCCGATTTTTGCCCGCCATTTTTTTTTAGGTTGCCGATATGCGCTTGGGCGAAGCTTCGCCCCGGCATTTGTTTTTTTTAAAAAAAGAAAAGGCCCTTAGTTTAACTTTCTGGAGGAGTCCGGGACTTCAGGGAGGACAGTTTGGGCTTTAAACTTTAAAGGTAAGTCCTTAACCTTTAAACTTTAAATGTAATATGGGGTGTTTTGAGCATGCGCAAAGATCGCCATTCATTGAGCATGCGCAAAGATCGCCTATGCGCATGCTCAATTTGAGTTGTTGTTTTTTTAAAAAAAACACCGACGCCCGCAGCATGTGAACGGGCATACAGCGATGGGCTCCGCTGTGAGGGAGGTAAGTGTGATCGCATTTCAGCCGGCATAAACTGCACCGGTTCCAACCGGTAACAGTTTATGCCGGCTGAAACGCCGCATCTGAACGCACCCAGAGTGTTGGGCTGGATGGGTCAGTGGCCTGATCCAACATGGCTTCTCTGATGTTCTTATGTTTTCATAGTTTGCAGACAGACACGAGTGGAGGCCCCAAGGAGAAGGCATGTGTACAGGCAGTTGTTGATTTTGCCCATTGCCATGAAGGGCTTTGTACGTGATAGCTAATACCTTAAATTGAGCCCAGTAACTGACGGGCAACCAGTGAAGTGCCTGCAGTATGGGGAGTAATACGCATAATCCATCAAGCTTCTGATAACAGCCGAACCGCAGCACTGTGCACCAACTGGAGTTTCCAAATTGATTTTTAAGAGAGACCAATGTGTGTATCTAGGAGCTGTGGTGGCTCAAGTGGTTAAGACGCTGAACTGCAGGCTGTGGAAGGTCTGTAGTTCAGCAGTTCGAGACCCGAGTGCACTGCATGACGGAGTGTGCCCCCGTCTCTAGTCCCAGCTCCTGCCAACCTAGCAGTTCGAAAGCAAGAAATTGCAAGTAGATAAATAGGGACCACTTCGGTGGGAAGGTAACAGCGTTCCGTGCGCCTTGGCGTCTAGTCATGCCGGCCACGCGACCACGGAAACGTCTTCGGGCAGCGCTGGCTCTTCAGCTTTGAAACGGAGATGAGCACCGCAACCCCAGAGTCGGATTCGACTGGCTTTCGGGCAAGGGAAGCCTTTACCTTTAATGTGTGTATCATGTGCCATCAGCATGCTTCTGACGTATGGCAGCCCTCCAAAACATCGTATCGTTCACAGCCTTGCTCGAGTCTTGCAACCTGAGGGCCCCGGCCTCCTTGACTGAGTCAGTCCGTTTCACGTTGACTCTTCCTCTTTTCCTGCTGCCTTCGACTTTCCCCAGCTTTATGGTCTTTTCCAGTGAGTCTTCTCCTGACGTCATTTGCGCCTCTGCACAACTTAAAACTCTCCCTCCCGTTCCCTTCTGTCTTTCACTGCAGGCAACATATCAATCAACCAGAGTTCCTCAGACGGGGCCACGTTCACCAGCGACTCCACAACCGCACAACAAGGGAAGGTGTTTTTCAGCTCCCTCGCCCCCGGCGCCGTGGTGTACACCGTCCCCAACTCAAACCAGGCCGTCGGACCCGTCAAGCAGGAAGGTCTGCAAACCAGCCTTGTGTTTTCGCAAGTCATGCCACTCGGTCAGAACGGCCAACTGCACGAAAGCTTGCCTTCGGACAGCCTGCCCGGCGGGGGCCTCCCGCCAGGAGCCTCCTCGTTAGTCAACATAACCCTGTCGCCCAATTTCTCCCTAGCGCCGCCCGCTCTCTTAAACGCCGACGAGCTCGGCCCCGGGCTGTCCGAGAGCCCGCCCCTGCCGTCCCCGGCGACGAGCGGGGCAACCGTCGTTTCCGTCAGCAGCGCCCACTACGCGACGCTTCAGAACTGCCCCCTCGTCTCCAGTCACGACCTGATGTCCATTTCCACGACGCAGCCGGCCCTGGAAGGGGTCGGCCCCGCCGCTAGCAACCACCCCGAACACCCGTCGGTGCACGTTCACCCCAGCTTCACCAGAGAGCAGCGGCTCCTCCTCCAGTCGGTGCCCCACCTAAAGGACAACTTCTTGCCCGACGCAGACAGCAAATCGGCCAGCAACTTAATGATGCTGGATTCGAAATCCAAATACATCATGAGCAATATGGTGGACGCGATCTGCGAAGAGCTGGAGACGGACAAGAAGGAGCTCGCCAAACTCCAGACGGTACAGCTGGACGACGATATGCAAGACTTGTAAATGTGTGTGGTTTGGGGTTGTTTTTTTCCCTTCCTTGTTTTCATTTCGGTAGACTCCCTCCTCGCGAGGGCCTAGAAGCACAGGGTGTGATTCCTCATCTAGTCCAAATATGTATATGGGACAACTCTGGGGGGGGGAAAAGCACACTTTTAAGTATCCACGTTTTAAAATAAGTGGAGATCTCCATTAGCCAAATGAGGTTGCCGGTCATTGTTGTGCATGCAATATAGCCTTCGAATAATAGTACTCTTTAACTCGTTTAGGAGGGAGGCGATCCCTCAATCCGGCATGGGATGGTTTGGTTTACAGATATAATCCAGGTAGTTTCATCAGATGCGCTGTACGTTAGTGTATTTTTCAGAGGTGATACCCTCCAAATATATATGTATATTATATGTATCTATCTACATTTTTAACCTGCCCTCCTCCAGAGAGTTCAGGGCATTGAACACGGTTCTTCCCTCCCTTATTTCCCCCTCACAAACACTTAGGGTTGCCAGTCTCCAGTTAGTGGCTCATCTCCAGGTTACAGAGATCAGTTCCCCTGGAGAAAATGGCTGCTCTGGAAAGTGGACTCTATGGCATTATACCCCACTAAGGCCCCTGTCCTCCCCAAACCCCGCCCTCCCCAGGCTCCACCCCCTCAAATCTCCAGGGATTTCCCAACCCAGAGGTGGCAACCCCATGAAACACTCCTGTCAGGTACGCTAGGCCGAGAAGGAGCTACGTGGAAGAGCAGGGGTCTGAACCCAGGCCTCTCTCCAGTTTGAGCCTAGTACCACCATACTGCGCATAATAGTTTTTAAAAAATGTCTTTGTTGAAAAAGCCTGAGACAAGTTCTTGGTTTGGATGAAGGTTTATTTCTAGACTTCTAGACTGCAGGCGTTGAAAATGGGTCGTGTCCAGGGCTAGTTTTGGGCAGGGACGCACAGGAACGGAGTTCCGGCTGGCTCCCGAGTTGGCCACGCCCAGCAGGAAACTCATTAGCATAATAGGCCACACCCAACAGCAGAAACTCATTCGGATTGGCTTCATTAGGGGTGTGTGGCCTAACATGCAAAGGAGTTCCTGCCACCAAAAAAGCCCTGGGTTTTGACAACAAGGTAAACAGAATATGAAGCAAAAGGTGGGGTGTGGCTAGATGACCACACTTCTGGTAACGTGGGGGTGCGGCCTAATATGCTAATGGACTGTGCTGTCAAGGGTGTCTGCTGTTGGGTGTGGCCTATTATGCTAATGAGTTCCTGCTGGGCTTTTTCTACAAAAAAAGCCGTGGTCGTGTCCCCACCATTTTGCCCTTGGCGGAGTGGTGGGACGCAGCCCCGTGTGTGTGAATAGTTTTTAGATACCTCACGAGTCGGGTTGCCAGCCTCCAGGCGGTGGCTGCAGATCTCCTGGAATTCCAGCTGATCTCCAGGCGACAGAGATCAGTTGCCCTGGAGACAGTGGCCATTCTGGAAGGTGGACTCTATGGAATTATACCCTGGTGAAGTCCCTCCCCAAGCCCTGCCCTCCTCAGTCTCTGCCCCCCCCCAAATCTCCAGGTAGTCTCCAACCTAGAGGTGGCAACCGTACTCACGAGCTACTGTTATACTTTCTTGGTTGGGGTATGGAAAGCAAGCGCAATTGCAAGGAATCCTTTTTGTTGATTGGTTGGTTTGTTTTTGTTGTGGTTTTTCCCAAGAAAGTCCTTTTTATACCCAAAAGTCTTGCTTTCTCAAACTTTGAAAAGATGCATTTCTCTTTTTAAGGGAATTTTTTTGTTGTTCTGTCTTGTTTTTCCGAATCAGTGCCGGCAGAGGAAAAAACCCTACTTGGCATTGGAAATTATATACCCCAGAATCCTTTGCTCTGCTGCATATGTCGGCAGTTCTATTCAACTGCTTTAAAGGGGATTTCCAGTTTTTATTGTGATGCCTTCTATTTATATTTACTGACGCCCCTGATTGTTTTTAGTTATGTTGAACAGTTCAGTTTTTCAGACGCCTTAATTTATTTTTAATATTTTTGAACATTGTTTCTGACAGGTTAAAAAAAACTGAGGGGGGGAGGGAATTTAGAGGTTCCTTGACTGATTTATTTTTAATCAATTTAATCAAAAGGTTTGACGCTGACATATCAATGAATGCAATTTGTAGACCCTGTAGAATGTCTTTTCCTTTTCCCTTATGGGTTTGTGCTTCGTTTTAAAATTCCAGATGTTGGTTTGTTTTAAACAAAACAAAACAAAATATTCCAGGTGCCTTTCTTCCTAGTGGCCTTATAGCCTCATTGCAACAAGCACAGCTAACTAAATAAATAAAACACTCGGTTTTGAGTTTATCAAAACTTAAGGACCAGTTCCTTCTTACCTTATATTTGAGTAGTCCTACTGAAAACAGTGTGGCTCCCAGTAAGATGTCAATGTTCCCTCTAAGCTGTGGAGTCTTGTGAGCAAAAATTCTACTTTGTGAGCTACTGGCATTAAAGTTGTGAGCAAGCGATTTGGCTATTGCATAAATTAGTTTGCTCTGGAGCCATCTTTCCTGAGCTAAGACAAAAACGTGTGAGCCGGAGGCTAAAAAACTGAGCTAGCTCACACTAACTCAGCTTAAAGGGGACACTGGTTGGGATTCTCACATTAGTGAGACAGTGTTGAAATTAAACGCCTGAAAATCTTTAATAGATGAATAAGAATGAAATGTGCTCTTTCCCCCCATGTAGGTGTTATGAAAAGACTTGATCTGCAATCTATTTGTGAATTTCCTGCATTGTGCAGGGGGTTGGACTAGATGACCCTGCAGGTCCCTTCCAACTCTACGATTCTGTGATTCTAATACGTTGCCAAAAGGGGATCTCATTAAACCGATAATTAGACCAACATATTTAAATAGAGCACACTAACAATACCATAAGAGAATTGCAAACAGGATAAATTAAAGGATTCCATTGCCCCCAAAGTGCATTACCACAGGGAGGATGTCTGCTGTGTCTCTGCACGAGTCATTGCTCTAGCCTTTCCCCGTCCGATTAGGCTTTACTTGGGATACATCACTATCTTTGTGTCTCTCTATCTGGGGTGTGACTGGATTGTTTGGTCAGTCACAGTCTAGCCGTTTTGGCTCTCTTGCAAAGGGGCTGCTTGTTGCCTCTCTGGATGTCCTGGCCTGGGTTTAAAGTCGGGAAGCTAATAGATTGATGTGTTGTTATTTCCCTGGGTGTTGCGAAGCAGGCCTCAGGCAAATTGGAATTCGGCTCTTTGGCAAGAGGGGAAATTCCGCTCGATAACTGGTGGCAGAAAGGCTTCAGGTGTGGGCACCTTTAGAAGACAGCGGTGAGAGGAGTCCCTGTTCTGCGGATCTCTTGCGGAAGAGCCGCTGTGAATGGATTGTAGAACCAATCACCCTTGGCTGGACTGTGACGATAGATCGAAACGCACCCGAAAGTCTTTGACGAAAGGCATATGCCAAACACCCCCAGTACCTAGGGTAGCCAAGTGGTCGTAGCAGCCGCAGCGGGGGACTCCCGGCTGGCGGCTGGAGTGTGTGTGTGCGCGCGCGCCGCACACACATCACCCGGAAGTGACGTGACGACGCCGGACATGCTGGGGGCGGGGCCACGACCATCCGAGGGAAAACCATAGAGTTTTCCCTCGGATGACCGTGTCCCCGCCCCCAGCGTGCCCAGTGTCGTCACGTCACTTCTGGGTGACGTGCACGACGGGGTGGGGTTCCCCCCCGGGGCCCGATCCGCTGGCGGCTGGGAACGGGCCTCTGGGGCGGGGGACTTGTCAAGCTTACCAGTACCTGTTGTAGGGTTGTCAACCTCCAGGTGAGGCCTGGAGATCTATACGTACAATGGGGTCTCTAGACAACAGTGATAAGTTCCTAGGATTGTAGGGTAGCCAGTCTCCAGGTGGGGCCTGGAGATCTCCTGGAATTAAAACTGGTTCCCACCAAACAGAGATCTGTTCCCCTGGAGGGAATGGCTGCCTTGGAAGGTGGACTCTTTGGTATTATACCAGCTCTGAGTTAGGAAATACATGGCGTTTTGGAAGGGTGAAGCCTGGGGAAGGCGGAGTTTGGGGAGGGGAGGGGCCTCAGCAGGGTACAGTGGATACAGCCCACCCTCTGAAGCAGCCATTTTCTCCAGGAGAAGTGAACTTGGTTGCCTGGAGATCGATAGTGATAGCAGATGTCCAGGTGCCCCCTGGAGATGGCAACTTTATTAGTTCCCCTGGAGAAAAATGGCTATTTTGGAGGGTAGACTCTATGGCGTTATCCCCTGCTGGAATGCCTTCCTTCCCCAAACCATGTCCACCTGAGGCTGTGCCTCCTCCAAATCTCCAGGGATTTCTCAACCCAGAGTTGGCAACCTTAACTCATTGGGCTTTACACTGCCATTCTGTCTTGCTGCGTGCACAGGTGAGGGAGGAAGAGATTGAGGAGAGAGGGCAGTTATCTCAAGCACCTTTGGAAGAAACGGGAAGTATTTGGGAAAGAGGGTAGTTAGAAGTCGGGGTCTGGTCCGGCCTGCTCAGAGGTCCCCTTCTTTTAATCTGTGCAGACCTTGGAAGTTCGAGATAAAATGCGTGAGCTGCAGATGTCTTGTTGGCTGGTAAAAATAAGCTTGGACGCGATGTTCAGAGGCACGCCGTGCACTTAGAGAAGAGAGACGCTCTCAATGCAATCCGTCAGGCATAACGTTGCCATCCTCCAGGTGGGGCCTGGAGATCTGGAATTGCCACTGATCTACACCTCTCAGTCCCCCTGAAGAAAATGTCCAATAATGGAGGATGGACACCGTGGCTTTATACCACAAGAAGTTGTTTTTGCGTGGCCGCTAAAGCGCCACCTATTCGGGCTTGTGTCTTCCAGATCGATGAGAATCCCAAGTTCCAAAGTGCTCTTTTGAGAACAGTCTTTTCTCATGCAAAGATGTCTCTGTTGGGGGGAAGGGCAAACAGTTCCGAATGACTCGTGAAGAGATCTTCCGACGGGATGCCTTTTGGGATCCTTCCAGCGTGTGGCATCCCGAACACATGCGTCGTCCTCTTGTGAATCGGTTTCACCAAAATTCTCACGGCTGCATCATGGATCAGTGTAGTGTTTCCCGTTAATAAGCGCATGAACATGAGACACGCATGCAGGGCTGGTTCGAGGTGTTTCTGTTGTCCCAAGCAAAGCAACGCCTGTTGCCTCTCTCCCACATAGCTGTTGGCTGGGTTTGGAACATACCTCTGCAGGGTTACCTCCGGGGAAGACCTGGAACCGACTGGCAGAAGTGCAAATCCCAGCAGGCAACGCTGTTGCCTCCTGCACCACTAATTGCCAGAATAGATCAAGATGGGTGGCCGTGTTAGCAGGGCCGGCCCCAGCTTATTTTGCACCCTAGGCGAGGATCCCTTCTGGGGGCCCCCCCATGCGCCCACAAATTTTCAAAAATAAATGCATTTTAGGAAGAATGAAAAACACAAATAATCAAGAAGCTCCCAGAGTACGGGGCCGGGTGCAGCTTGGCGCCCCTAAGGGCCGGCCCGCTCTAGGCGATT